GAGTAGCACAAACAGTCCTCTGATATTTAACATTGTTAAAGTTGTCACATGGGCAGAATAACAACCATATACATGTGTGAATACTTGTTTTAGATAAATTGTGATTTCCTGTGAAACAATATTAGGAATTTCCAAAAACTTCCACTGTGACACTTGAAATTAAAATTTGATCTCTGTTGTTGTGTAGCAGAATGGCCACAAAATGGTTTCAGTTTCACTTAAAACAGTGTTATGTAAGCTGGAACTAAGTGGCTTAAAGGGAAAGTTTGTTTTTGTAAAGTTTAGTGAGATAATTTGAAGTAGAACTGGATAGGTGTAATGGTGACCTCAAGTATAGTGAAGACATTTTTCTGAAGAGGGTTAATCAAATTGTTAAGCTCATGCAAATAGTGTGCTCACCAACCGTATCCTGACCCAAGACATTTGTAAATGCATGCAAAATCTCCACCGTTTTTACAGAACTTGGCACTATTTTTAGAGCTTATCACTCAATGAGCCAAACCTATTTTCACACACTAACATCAATTTATTTCAGAAAAAATACAGAAAAAAACATTTTACTGGGTCTTCAGTGCAGATGCATTTTCATAACTGGATGTTAAACATTCTTTCTTTTTTGCCATTGATGATATTGTCCTGTTTCGTAGGCTCAAAAGGATGCAAAGATTCATAGACACAGCCCCAGGTGAGTCTAATTAATGCAACTGTGGGAGGTTGTTAAGCTGTCTTTTTTATCTGCTGTATTGTTTTGGGGCCCTAAACAGCCATTTTACAGCCAAGTCACAATCATCCAACACAATTACTCATAACTTTAGCCAATACAAGACTTTTTCATGAAACTGGTAATAGTGCATGTGGTTCAGTCATTATGAAATGGGTTTGGAATTTAAAAAAAATCTATATTGACTGTTCTTGCATAAAATAAAACCTAGAGTAGCTGAAAAAAAGAATGGTGTGGTTCTCCTATTAGTCTATTGCAGTAACAACAACCTGAACTGACAGCAACTCTGGGACAGATTTTATTCGTTGTAGTCAGATCTGGTCCAGGCCGAAGCACAGAGCCAGAAGAAAGTGCTGGAGGAGCTGCAGTCCTGGTTGGGAGCCAGAAGCCAGAATCTTAAAGGCCAGTCCTCAGGTGATGACCCTCCACCAAACCTAAACATATTGACGCAGTGATGGCTTGCAACTATTCTTCCTTCTGCCACTTTACTCAAGAAGCACGTGTAGACCATGATGACCTGTGGCCATCACCTCTTAAGTGGTGACAGCTGACTGACTGATTGCCCCCTAAAAATTCATCACTTATTTACCGGTAGTCTTTTCTACTTCTCCTCAACTCTGATATAACAGCTGGTAGCTTTTCTAATTTGCATGCACTACTCATACTTTTGCAGGATTGCTGGTGTTGCCATGAATGGATGAATGGTCTAATTGGCCTTGGAATGTTCCTCTCAGTCCATAACAATGTTCTGTTAAGGGTGCAAGAAGGTACACAATGGGGAATGATGGGGTCAGACTGCATGGACTCTAATCCATTAAAACTTGTTTTGTTGTGTCACTTTGCTAGACATGAGGCATGTGCATTACAGTATGTTCTGCAGTGACAGTTGAAACTGTGTGGAAGGGCAACGGGCAAACAATTATTGCTGTTGTTTTGCACCATCTTTAAATTTTGCAAGGGTTTGAGAAGGAGGCAGGAGGTTTGGTCCATGTGTTGATAAGGTAAGGTTCTGGCTCATCTGCAGGGTGGTCAGATGTTTGGAAACACAAAGTCAAAATGCAACATTTTAATCTATCAGGATAAGTTCTCACAACAGTAAGACTGGGCTGTAGTAAAGAACTGCACCAAGACTGGGAAATGACAGGGGAAACATTTAGCAGAAGCAGAGAGTTTTATGGTGCATTCCAGTAGTCCTGGGAAGTGGTAGTTTCCCAGTTCCCATTGGTAGATTTAAACTGGAACGCCCCCTCCAGTGGTAATATTGCACTCGTAAAGTGGAAGAAATGAAACTGCCCCCAGTTTCGATTTCAAGATGGCGGCTACTTACAGCTTTAGAATGTTAACTCCGTGACTTTTACTGTTAAATATCTTTCCTAATTTTTGTGCATGTTTAATCACTCGCACAAGTGTGTTTTCTGTGCAATACTGTATGTATTAAAATCAATGTTTATTTGCATGACGTACATAGTAGAGCTCTCTTTTTGTCATTGTTCACATTGTAGCATTGTTGTAGCTGGGTCAGTGGCAGTAATACAATTGCCTGTCGGCTAACTGGAATGCAGTGGTTTGTTGGGAAATGACTTCACTGCCATTTACCAGTTCCAGGAATACAATGTAAATGGAACACACCATTAATGTTGCTGCTAGAGGGCACAAATGGTCAACCAATAAACTCCGAAACTCTGACTAATCAGCAAGCTAAGGTCTGTTACCTAAAGCTTTTTAAAACAAAAGTAAAACTGTAGCACAAGCCTTACATCTGGACATATTTTTAAACTTTGAAATGAAAACCTGGACGTGGTATAAATTCAATGGAATATTTGACAGTAAAGTTGTGAAAAAAAGCAGTTATGGTCAGAGATCCAGTGTGTTCTGGATGGAGATGCACCTTATTGGCTCTGATTAATAACCATCAAGAAGAACTGCTGAACGGAGACAAGATAACCGATAGTGATGACAGCTAACTTGTCTGATTGAAACTAACCCCGTAATTACCACACAGGATGAGGACTGGGTCTACTGCTGGGTTGACGAGTGTTTTGCTCCAGCGTTAACATGCTCCAATTCACCTGTCCCCAGGAGGCACAGCCTGCACCTCTGTTATGCAGTTGGCCTTTTCAGCTTCTGGAGTTGTCAGCTATGTGTCTTTAGTCGAATGGAAGCCTGCTTCTAATCATGGCAATCAGTCATGTGAAAGAGCTCCTGTTCTCTTTCGAAGACAGCTAGATTGGACCATGTTCAGTGTTTTTAAGCTATTGTCATTATCAGGGAGTTGTCTGAAATGGTCTAAAACCTCAAACAAATGAAGAAAAAATGCACAGTTCTGTTTTATTTTCTCTCTGCTGTGGACCAGTGTGATTGTATGAAAAAATAATTTTATATAAAGCTAAGTGATACTGGCCTATTTGTTCAATTGCCACCCATTATGCACAGCTAAAAGAAATGAAACTGCTTTAATAGTCATTAAAAAAATTGGACATATCTTGGGTCTCTTACTGTAGCAGATGCCCATTTATGGGTGATTACCAGGCAGCTTGGCTTTGACTAATTTAACTCCTGATGCCTAGTTTGGTGGTGGCTGAAGGCTGGCTACAAGCGGTGAAGATGAACACTGAAACTCCTTGTCTGAGCTCCACGTTCACAGCTTTAAATCCAACATGGAGGGCTTGATGCAGCTGCAGAATGTGACTGACAACTACAGAGATTAAACTGATTCTGTTGCTGAAGAGAAGCTAAAGACTACACTCATGTTGTTGCCATGATATATGCAATAAAATGTAAATAACAGATTAAACCAAACAAGGGAGTCGCAACACATGGGCATGTTGTTGTTGATGTTTTTTTTTTCCTGCATGGGTGCATTAAGTTATTAGTGAGCTTTACTGATCTCATCTGTTTCACAAAGTGTGCATACATATCTTTTATATAATTGATTATGCTTTTATTGGTCTTATATTTCTGAAAACATGTTTTTGTTACAATTTACTTTCCTAGTGCGTAATTAACCATTATACTACTACAACTATATTTTTTGATAATTTATTTTCTTGTATTTTTTGCTGTATGTTTTTTTTCTTGTACTTTTCTTGCTTATGTTGTGCTATTTTAACCATATACAGTATTGAATAAAATACCATTTAGCTTATTTAGGAGATGACTGAACTATGACTTGAAACATGCCTTTCATATGTATATATAAATGTGTTTACAAATATTTCCCGTGTTTAAATACAATGAGATTGATTCGGTTCATAATCATTGCTCTATTTACAATCTACTTCAGCATACTTGATTTACTTTAACACTTTTAGCAACTGTTTTGCTTCCTTTAGCTTTCAGCTTCCATTTTGTTCCATTTAGCTTTTAGATAGTTTTGCTAACTTTAGGAATTGTTTTGTTGAATGTTACTTTTGCATTAATTTATTATTATTATTTGCTACTTTTAGCTCCATTGCTGTAACTATTAGCTACTGTTTTGCTCATTTTAGCTTTCACATTTGTTTAGCTATTTATAGCTATTTAGCCAATTTTTGCATCTGTTTTTCCCCGATTTTTTTTTCTTTACTCTTTTTGGCTTTGCCCTCTGTTTTGTTATATTTAGCTACATATTTGCTCATTCTGACACCAACTTTGTGAATTTTAAGTACTATTTTGTTTGTTTTACTTCTTACAACTCTTATTTAGCTAAGTCCAATAAAATCATACAGCACATTCACACTGTATTTCTGCAGAAAATGCATTTTGTGTAGTTATTTTTTTCGTATTTAAAAAAAATGAAAAAATGAATGTCATTCCACTGATTGAGCAGGAATAGAAACTTTGCGCCACCTAGTGGAGACAGCAGTCACGGACTCACCATCAGTACTTGGTTTGCATGAACTTCATTTAGGGTGGCTCCTCCTGACCTACATCAAATGATCTAAGCTGGTGTGTTGAGTTAGGGTGAATGACTCCAGTGGACAAAAAAAAAAAGTCACAAAACATGAAAATAACATTAAACCACATGAAGTAGAATATATTTATGCTGGTAAAATAAGTCTCTTGCATTTTTTTCCCCCTTAAAAATCCAGTAGTGCCATTAGGTGCATTTTATTTGATCTTTTCTCCAAACAACTGAGCTCTTAGAAGAGCGGTGCCCTATTTCCAGTCTGCTCTGCTCGGTGTCTTACCTGCGCTGAACGCCCCTCCCTCCTCCCCCCAGTCCTCTGAGTTGCACTCGTTGCAGTAGGAGGGTCCATGTGAGCAGAATGACGTCGCGCTGACTGCAAGTCCGACCGTCTCCTCCGTTTGTTTTTGGGACTCCACTTTTTAAATATAAATATATTTTATTATTATTAAATTCAGAAGATTAAGAAAACTGTTATTCTGCAAAAAAATTTACAGCCATATTAATTTTGTTTTATTTTTGTACAGTAATAACAGGCTACTGTAAGATTAAGGTGTCGCTGTCGCCCGACCCATCGCTGTGGTTCGCCCCTGTCAGTGTGAGTGCGCGCGCGTACATGCGTGTGTCTGTGTGTGTGTCTGTGTGTGTGTGCGTGTTTTACAGGAGCAGCGGCTCGCTGTTGAGGATTACTACTGATAATACGCAGTAGACTTCTAGCTGTCAAACTGACAACTATGTGTTGGACAGAGCAGCCAGTTTGTTGACATTTATTCACTTTGCTTTGCGCGTCTTCTTCTCCTTGTGGATTATCGCTGCCCAGCAACACAGACGGACTGGGAGACAGACAGACAGGGAGACAGACAGACAGGGAGACAGACAGACACCTGACAACTCTGAATGTCGTAATTAAGGTAAGCAAAGGACGGAGCTCCTCGTCTTTCTTTCTGTCTTCATGTTTTCATTTGGCGCGTTCTGGGAGCTGATTCTGGGAGTGAACTCTTCTCACTTCACCGGGATTATTGTTAAATAGCTCCTGTCGGGGTTGTGGAGCAGGAATATCCGATAAGTTGAGCCTCTCTTTCTGGTGCAGAATTAAAACTCTGCAAGAAGTTTTTTTTTTTTTTTTTTTTTTTACAAACAACATAAAACACCTTTTTTTTGGTAAAACTAATTTCTCTGCATTTGTGCGCAAATCTGTTTGGAGATGCATGCTCTAAATGTGATGTAAGTTAACTATGCATCATATTTCCACCTAAACAAGCAGTTTGCGCTTTTATTTTTCTAAAAGTCTGCTGGCACACAACTTTGCTGGTTATTCTGAAAATATTTATTGTTTCTACGCGCCATCGAACTGTAATGTGCAAAAAAAAAAAAAAAGGTTCCCCAGTGGCTATTGAGGTGACTTCTCTTAGAATGAATTAATGATATAGTGATTGTTTTACCATAAAAATAATAAATGAGGGCGGATGTTTACCAAACATCCTGTGCAGAGGGAGTGAAAGAGGGGGGATTTTGCACCCAGGACGGACTTAAACTAAAAATAAAATGTTTAATTTGTGCACATGCATGCACAAACTCCGATGTTGCAGCCTGTTGTGTAATTACTTTGTTCTTAGGTTGTTTCTGAGCGCCGCCTCGCTGCTTGTGCGCCTCAAACAACAACAGTTCAAGTTGTGTCGCAGCTGTGTTGTGGTCGCGAGAGCTCTAACTATTGAGTGACAGCTCTCCGTCCAATCCGTGGAGTGGCCTGAAGAGGCTGATGGAGCTCTGACTCAACCGTCCAATAGAGGCGCAGCTGAGGTGGGAATTTAAAAGACCAAACAAACAAATAAATAAATAATAAAAGCTCAGGCGACGTCACGCTGACCAATTAACCCTTAACGCCTTTAGTTGTCAAACTGCACTTCAGTGCACAGATGAAAAGTTTTATCTGCTGCTAATTTAATAAACTATTTTAGATTTATTATATTGCTTGCAGAGCATGTTATTCTTATTTTTTTTCTTTTATGATTTTAAATAAAGTAGACTATTAGGCCATAACACAACACTTTGACCCTTTTAGGGTGCAAATTTAACTAAACTATGCTTTAGCTTCTATCTAAAACCTGTTGACCCCCCTGGGGTAATTGTAGAAATACATTTTGACATTGTAAGAATAAACAGTTGTACTAACAGACATCATCAGTGGATAATGGAGCAGTTATTTGGGTTCAGTAGCATAAAAATTGGAAAATTCTAGGCTTACTAACTTCTAAACATCACTTGCTGTCAACAGCATAAAAAGCAGACAATTCACTGCAGACTCAATATATTGAAAACATGTCAAACCTTAAACTGACTAAATGTTTAAATAAATAACAAAGTAACACAAGGGTGAACCTTTTAAAAAGTCTTACAAGCTGACATTGTTTAAAACATTTTCAAAGGGATGGGCAGATAGTCCTCTGTTAGTGTTGGGGTGCCACTTAACAACCAAACTTTGATTGTGTGCTGTTACAGCATTTAAAAAAACGATAAGAGTAGAATAATTACTGTCTGTTACCATTTTATTTTATTTTTTATTTTTTATAGATGGATCTACTGACAGAGAACACCAGTCACAACTCAGCTCATTCAAGAATTTTCTTTTCTTTTCTCATTTAAATTTCTATTTATGGAAAACAATGCATACAACTACACCCCCGATGGTGCCCCTGACTGACATGTTTCTAATTTAAATGTTGGATTGTCGTTTAAAGGAAAGATATGCACGTCTAATTCAGAAAATATCTGTTGTGATTTAGAAGAAACACAGACAGTTCTTTTGATATGTTTAAATTTTACAAACCGATCTTGTAATTTGTGTACAGTTCTTAAACTCTGGTCTCCCTTTTCTATATATGTTTCTGTGTTCACACTGAAAACAAAACTAAACACATTTGCTGCACACAGACACCAATGTTGTTATTGGGATTCACGCACAGCTGCATGCACAAGTTTCCTAAACTCATGGAACAAATTCTCACATCCTCAGATTTTGATTACTC